AGTGAGTTTATTATTAGAGATGTAGGTTAATTTAAATTTACACGCGTGATAAATTCTGACAAACTAATCTATTTTTAACTAGATGAAAAAGTCCATATCACATTTTTATTTACAATGGGAATGGAATTTTTCCTACATGCATGAAATATTAAAATATGATATGATCTAAAAATATATTCAGGGTATTCATATAAAAAACACATATTTATTAAAAAAGAGTTAGAAAAGAGTCAGAATATTAATAAATGTGATTTTGTAAATTAAATGTGATAGAAAAAAGAGAAAAATTTATGTAAAGTTTAATGGAATAAATTCTTTTAAAAAGTTAAAAAATTATTATACGTATAATAGGATTTTTAAGATTTCTCTTTCGGAGGATTTATTATATATTTCAGACAAATCTCTCTTTTTTCCTCTTATATTATTTTATAATTTATGCAGAGACTTTTATATTAATTTTGGGGTCTCTATATTTCTTATTACATTTATCATATATCTAATATAAAATCTATTAAAAATACCTTAAATAATTTTATATTGTACTTTCTGCTTCATGCAGATTTTATATCGATCAGCTTTTATCAAAGTCGATATGGCGTGTAACGTTTAGCGTTTAATACCGTTAAAGGACGTTGCATTATGAAACCGGGCATGATAGTCTAATAGAACAGTGAACTTCGACATCGTCATTTAACTGATATCGTTTATGAAGTTTGCATATACGAGTGTACCCCGTGCCTTTCATTCATTGATCGCGTTTGACACTTCAAACTTGTCAACTAAGTTTACACGTGTTATCCAACATTAAATAAATTTCCATTAACAACTTCATCCCTGTGGATGACGTACAATTGGCAGAAGATCGATGAGAAGCTTTCATCGGCATTGCTTCTGAATAAGACGACGCACATTCAAGCACATTGCTCGTATGTTTCATAATTACAATGTAATTAATCAATAATATAAAATCATAAATATTTCGAAAATTAAATATGTCGCAAGAGTAACCAAACAGAAAGTTCTTGTGTGCAATTAATTAATTTAACGTACTCGAACGCTGTGTTGCAATAACCAAGTTATGTCATAAATCTCGAGACATTTATCGAAATCACGTTTTATGACGAGCAGTTTTCTCTTACAATATTGCACTGATGATTCGTACGAGAGAAGCTGCATCTTGAAAATTCCTCCGTGCTCATTTCTCATCGCTTTCGACGCGTCCGTTAAATCGCATTACACAAAGTTCATGCGGTAGACTTATCCTCAATAGAAATAAAACAAGCTACAAAGTATGTTTTCGATTTGATGCTATTTGCATATGCACCACTTATAATTTCCAACAAGATAAAAAGCAAATATTTTCGACCTAAATACTGAATAATGATTTATTGATTGTAATATAAAGAAAAAGACTGTTCTTACTTTTTTTCACAATTGAAATTATTCTACAAAGAGTAAGAGAAATGATTGCATTTCAAAATAGATAAATTAATGGGCATAAGAAATTAAACAAAAAATTCGCATCTTTTATTTTTTTAAATAAAATTCTTTGAAATATGTTTGTATGAAGAATAATCTTATAAAAATAAAAATAAAAATAGGAAGAGAGTCAAAAATAAAATCTTATATCTATATACTTAAGAGGAGGTTCTAGTCTAGAGGTTCAAAATTTATGTATTTTTTACCTATTTTTTTCATCAAAAAAAGGAAAGAGAAACCAAAATAATGCTTTTTGCATTAATCTTATTATGTTTAATTTTTCAATATACGAGACAAAATTTTTATTTTTAGAAATGTAGAAAATTACGACTGTAGCCTACGAGTACATTAGAGCGTACGTGGCCAATTGACGAAAAATCTCGACTGTCGACAGTCTGAGTTATCTGAGACAAATAAATCAATACAATTATTAAAATGTATTAAATTTGTGGTGCCATGAATCTCATTTTATTTGAAAAATTTTTAAATTTGCAGAATAGCAGTCATTTAAAATTAAATGTCAATTTTTACGAACTTCTTTTCACTTTCAATCTGTTCAAAGAAATAGTTATTTCGGAAAATTTATGGCATTTTTAAGTTCATGGCCCCATAAAAATTATCTATTTTTTGGAAAAGTCAATTTCTTCTCCTGTTCGAAGAACAAATTTTGCTGCATTTGAGCCCTTCTTCTTTCGATTCTTGCTTGTTTTGTTTGATTTTCAATCGAAAATTCAATTCAACAAGTCATAAATTGCTTTAAAATTTTGAATATTGCAAAATCCTTTTACAGGCATATTCTACACACTTTAAAGATGCAAAAAATGTAAAAAAAATTTGATTTTTTTATCCTCTAAAGTAGAACCTCCTTTTAATGTATTTCATATTTTCTATAGATTATATCCAAATTTTTAAATAAATTACAATCGTCAATAATTCATTATTGTTTAATCGATTTTTTAATCATTATTGTCACCATCATCGTAGTAAATTCTAATAATTGCGCGTTCGATTGTGACAAACTCTTGAAACGCTGTAAGGAATTTGTGGTTGATCGAGACGCCGACATCATTCGATTTTCGAGAAGTCGACATTAACTTGAAATGATGTAGCACGTCGTCATCGATCTACGTTTAATTACTAGCGAATACCATAAATAGATTGGAATTCTCAAAGTTCCATTGTGTCTGTCAAAGAAAGGAGAGGAGATTTAAATTTTTATCGTTATCTGGTTTACGAAAAGAATGATGATTCAGTTCCGTGTTGTCTCGAGTTCTCACAATTGTGCTAAAAATAATATCCGAAAGGCAATCTAATAACGGGATATCTGTAAATTGAATATTAATTTTCATATATTGTGCAATAACATTTAGCGTTATTGCTGCAAAATATACGCTTCTGTTATAGTTTATTATGATGTGAAAATATTTACTTTATATAGTGTGTATATTGAGTACTTTATATAGTGTGTATATTGTATACATATAATAATTTCATTAAAATGAATATTTATCAAATATTTTGTTGATTATCATATATGCAAGTATAGAGTTTGCTAAATGCATGTTTTTATGCATATTGTGTTTTATAACTAATTATTTTACAATTAATATGTACATTATTATAGTAAATTTTATATGTGAATATTAATAATACACAGTTTATATTAATATTATTTTTTTTCTAATATATTACATTAACATAAAATATCTTTTCT